GAAGTCTAATGCTCAACCAACTGAGCCACCCAGGCACCCCTGCTTTACAGTAAGTCTTAGAATTAGGTAGTGGGTCCTCCAATTTTGTTCTTCTTCAGAACTGTTTTTGGTTTCTCAATTTCCTTTGCCCTTCTATACACAATTTAGAATCAGCTTGTCAATTTCTATTAAAAAGTTTGATAGGGTTTTGATTATGATTGAACTGAATCCAGAGATCAAATTGAGGAAAACTGACATCTTCATTTTGAGTTCTCCAATCTGTGAACATGGGCTATATCTCCACTTAGTTCTATCTTCTTTGATTGCTGTCAACAGCATTATGTAGTTTTCAGAATGCAAACACTGAACATATTTTGTTAGAATTATACATAAACACTTGAATTTTAATGCTATTGTAAGTGGTATGGATTTTCTAATTTAAAATACCAATTATTCATTGCTGGTATATAGGGAAAAAATGGGCTTTCTTTGTATTTTGTGATCTTGCTAAACTTACTTTTTAATTCTGGGAGCTTTCCTGGAGATCCTGTGGAATTTCCTGCAAAACCATATCCTCTGCAAACATAAGGTTTTTTTTTCTTACTTTCCAACCTATATCCATTTCATTTCCTTTTCCTTCCTGCATTGTCTAAGACTCCCATTATGATGTTAAATGAATGGTAAGAGAGGGCATCCTTGTTTCTGAATTTAGGGGAAAATATTCAGTCTTTCATCCATAAGCATAACGTTAGTTGTAGGTTTTCAAAGATGCTCTTTATTAGGTTGAGGAAGTTCCCTTCTACCTCAACTTTACTGAGACTTTTTATCAAGAACAGAGCTGGATTTTGTTGGATACTTTTTCTGTGCTTATTGAAATGACATACAGAAGAAATAAGCTTTTTCTTATCTACCCTGTCAATAGGATGAATTTATATTGCATTTCTAGAATGAGACCACTTGATTACGATGTACTTTCATTTTTATATACTGCTAGATTTGATCTGCTAATACGTTGTTGAGGATTTCTGCATATATGTTCATGAAGATTTTGGTCCATATTTTTCTTTTCTTATTATGTCATTGACACTAGGGTAAATGTTGACCTCATAAAATGACTTAGGAAGTTTTCCTCCTTCTACTTTCTGTCTCATAAGACTAGTATTATGTTTTCCTTAAAGGTTTGGTAGAATTCACCAGAGAAACCACCTGGGCCTGGTGTTTTCTTTTATGTAAGATTCTTAACTTCAAATTCAATTTATTTAATAGATATATAACTATTGAGATTATCTATTTCTTCTTGAGTTAGTTTTGGTATTTTATGCCTCTCAAAAAATTCTTGAAAGTTAATGTCTTTCAAAAAGTTTCAAATAGTTTTAACATCAATGTAACCACGGAAGACAGGATTACCAAACTAGAGGATGTTTCTTTTTTTTTAATTTTTTTTTAATGTTTGTTTATGTTTGAGAGACAGAGAGAGACAGAGTGTGAGCAGGTGAGGGGCAGAGAGAGAGGGAGACACAGAATCTGAAGCAGGCTCCAGGCTCCAAGCTGTCAGCACAGAGCCCGACACGGGGCTCAGACTCACGAACTGTGAGATCATGACATGAGCGAAGTCGGACGTTTAACCAACTGAGCCACCCAGATGCCCCACTAGAGGACATTTCTAAAGAAAATATCAAACTAGAGAGAGAGAGAGGAAAAGAAAAAAGAATTAAAAATATCAAAATAGGCATAAGATATATATGAGATACAGTCTAAAAATCTTATATAACTGGGAGTCCAGAGGAACGGGAAACAGATAATGGGGCAGAAGCAATGTTGAAAGAAATAACGGCTACAGGTTTTCTAAAACTGATGAAAAATATCAACCTACAAATTTAGGAAGCTCTGAAAACTTAACATAGATTAACCCAAGAATACCACATCTAGGTATATAATGGTAAAATTACTAAACACAAAGTGGAAGAGTGAATTTTAAATATAACGGGAGTAGGAGGAGAAATACCTACATTACTTCAAAAGCGTAGGAGCTGACTTTTCAAGACATAAAAGAAGCCAGATGATGATGGAATAGCTTCTTTAAAATGACAAAGAGGGTTGCCTGGGTGGCTCAGTGGGTTTGGATCCTGGAGCCTGCTTTGGATTCTGTGTCTCCCTGTCTCTCTCTTTGCCTCTCCCCCACTCACGCTGTCTCTCTCTGAAAAATAAATGTTAAAAAAATAAATAAATAAATAAAAGAGAAGAAAATAACTACCAACCTAGAGTTTTATATCCAGTAAAACCATCCCACATAAAAGTGAAAACGAGATGTTTTCAAACAAAATCAGAATTCACAGCCAGGAGAATGTCATGAAAGAAGTATTAAAGGATGCTCTTTAGGCAGAAGGAAAATGACTCTAGAATCCATATGGGAACATGGAATTGCAGGAAAGAATGAAGAATAATAGAACAGATAAATAAGTGATTAGTATGAATAAACATCATATAAACAAAATTAATTTCTTGTGTGTTTTATACATGTAGAATTAAAGTACAAAATTAAAATGCAAAAAAATGAAAAAAAGGGGACGGGTTAAATGTTTTTAGGCCCCAATACTGGTAGGGAGGTCAACAAAAAATAATTTGTCAAGTGTGCAAGCTGAAATCTCCAGGGCAGCCAGTAATAGAAGAGTTAGAAAATGAATTAACAAGTTAATAAAAAGGAAAATAAGTTATAAAAATGCTTGCTAATTCCAACCAAAGACAATCAATCTACATAAATATCCTAGATTTTAATTCTTCAAAAACAAAAACAAAACGTGCTACTCACAATATATACACTTTAAATACAATGATAAAAAGAAAAAAAGAAAAAAATATATACCATTCATAGACTAGCCAAAATAAAGCCATTCTAACTATACAAATATCAGATAAAACGTACTACCCTCAAGCAAGGAGATGAATAGGGGCATTCACAATAAAAGGCTCTTATCACAGTCTGAAGTCTATATCCAACCAATGACACAGCTTCAAAATACATAAAATTAATAAAACTAGAAAGAAATGTGGAGGCTTAAACCTTTCTTGGGATTTGAGATCTATCTACCATGATACAGAAAAAATAATTTTAACCAGAACATACATTTAAATGTGAAAAAAAAAAACCAAAAACCCATTAGAGGAAAACATAGGAGAAAGTCTCGAAGTACACAAAATTTCTAAAAATGCTGATCAACAAATTAAAAATAATGAAATAGATTCATTAGGATCAAGAATTTTTTTTCATCAAAGATGTCACTAGGAAAATAAAAATATGAGGCATAGAGTGAGAAAAGACAATTACAAAATATATATCTAAGAATTCATATCAAGGATCTATGTGGAACTCTGAACAAAAAACCAAAAGGAGACAATTCAGTACAAAAATTCACAAATAACCTGAACAAGCATTCACAAAAGAGAATATCCAATGGCCAATAAACATATACATTAGTCATCAGGAAATAGCAAATTAATACCATTATATGATAAACTACCTCTTACCAAATGCCAAAAGGAAAACTCACATAAGCACATACACACACACACATCAATCAAGTAGCAGTGAGGATGTGCAGCAAGTACAACTCTCACACACAAGTAGTTAAAATCACTTGAAAAATTCTTTTGACAGCACCTTCTAGGGCTGAGTGTACACATAGCCCATGATTGGGCAATTCCAAATAAGAATACATACTCAATACAATGATACCTTCATTGCATCATTGTATTCTATATACGCATCAAGGTATACATACAATGCTTATAGCAGCTTTATAAGAGCCCAAACCAGAAACAACCCAAATGTCCATTAACAGAGGAATGAATAAATCAACAGTAGTAGCTTCATAAAATAAAATACTGTATAGCAGCAAAAGTGAAGAACTGTTTCTAAATATAACAAGATGTCTGTAGCGCACGATAGTCTGAATTGCAAAATCAAAGTGAAACAAGTCAGAGAAAAAAGTACGTACTGAAGGATGTCACTTATATAAAGATTAAAACACATAAGACTAATCTTGCCATTAGAACTTAGGATAATGTTTACCCTTGAAGTGGCAGCAGCTAAGAGGAAATGCGAGAGACAGGAAATGTCAGATTCCCAACATGACACTCATGATAAATGATTGTTTTTTAAACTGCTGGAACAGGGGCGCCTGGGTGGCGCAGTCGGTTAAGCGTCCGACTTCAGCCAGGTCACGATCTCGCGGTCCGGAGTTCGAGCCCCGCGTCGGGCTCTGGGCTTAATGGCTCAGAGCCTGGAGCCTGTTTCCGATTCTGTGTCTCCCTCTCTCTCTGCCCCTACCCCGTTCATGCTCTGTCTCTCTCTGTCCCAAAAATAAATTAACGTTGGAAAAAAAAAAAAAAATTAAACTGCTGGAACAAAAAAATCACAAAAAGAATGCACTGTAATTATTTCCCAGCTGCCCGTCATATATATGTTTATTTGTCTTACCTCAGAAAATATTCTCATATTGATGGTCTCTAATATTAAACCCAGTAAACCTGACTGGCTCTTTTCCTCTTTTAAATAACATAAAAATCAGCTGGGAAGCTTCTTCAAAATAATTATTTCTCACCCCACCTCCCCTCATTCTACCATTTAGAATACAATCTATTTGCAAGAAATGGAATTGTTTTATACTGGGCCATAAAACAGGAGCCCCCATACTTGGAAGGCAATGAAATAATTATCATAAAGTCACTACTTACTACGAGATGTGATCAATAACACTGTTTAGAGTTCAGATGATGTCAAACATTTTGCACAATGACTCAGGTCAAGAGGAAGTTAGAGATGTTGCCTTTAGCAAAACCACTGACTTCCATCAAATGGAGGTTGTATCTTTTTTTCTTCTCTTTCAGTGATTAACTATTACAGGCTTAAGCATCTGGAGTGGTTCTCTTGCCCAATTAGAAAAGGCCTTCAAGAGGAAATTTTAGAAACTAACATATAAATGTCTTTGATGAGCCTGATGTGATTTCAAGACATTTTTTACCCGGTCATGGATCTCATCACAGTTTGAAGGTGAACACCAATCAGAATGGAATCTGTAGGCATAAAAAACAAAGGTGACTTGTAGCCAGAGGGAGAGAAAGAAATCTATCCAAATGCCAGACACCAAAAGTCATTGTTTTTTTCTTATCCCGGTGTGATGACACAGAAAGATTTAAATAGCATATTTTCTTCTTTGACCAAAGATGAGAGGCAGATGTAAAATCAGGCACTGATTCTCCACGGAAATATTACGCCTTCATAATATGTGCAATAAGCAGTAATAATAACATTTGATGTAAATTAGGGAGAGCACACCTAAGTAGTTAATCATTTTAATGATTTCCATACACAATTCTTTAGAGCTTTATCTCTAAATAAAGATACAGATTTTCAGATTAGAACAATAATTCCATGTATAGTGCCTTTAAAATTAGTTCTTATTTTCCAGTAATTTAATCACACTCTCTTAAATTATGTGGATAAAATGCCTTTATGTATACAGAACAATAAAACTAATTTTATGAAACGAAACAAAATGTTCAAATAGATGAAAATATTATTTAGAATGCAATCATGCTCTTACTCCTTCAGAAGATAGGGGGGTATCAAAATTGAAGGATTCCCTCTCAGCACAGATATCAATCACTTCTCTAGTCTCTCCTATAAATGTGCTTTTTAAGTGAATATTGTAAAAGGAAAGGAAAATGAGACTTTTATGAAAATCTGAGTTTTGGAGTTAAAGAAGAAATAAAACAACCATTCCTCTTTCTTATTCCCGCTCAAACTCAAAACTGGCATTAGTATTCTGAAGTTACTTTATTTTATACAAGTAATAATGAAAATTTCCAGGTCCATCTGATTATAATTCATCTATACAAAGTGTTATTGATAATTCCTTCATAAAGGAATGGGTACTAAAATGCTACTAGATTGCTTACATCTTTGCCTTTTTTCCTCCTAGCTTATACTTACAAAGTTACAATTTTATATATTTACACAAGGTATAAACTCTTTAGCAGGATAAATGATTTACATAACCTGTTTTAAAGAATGTAATCGCTAATGGATGATCAACTATATCTAAATTTTCATCTCCCATATTTGTAAAAGTTAGTGTTATTGAAGCTACACAAATATATGGCCAACTTTGTTATATTTGCTACATATGCAACACATCTTGAAAATCTGAGATCCAAATGTGCAGTTCCAAGAGGGTGTCTTCAGTGTGCTATGAGAGGGTCCACTAGTCTGTGCTGTGGTATAAGAAATGATTGCCTAACAATCTTTAACTTCATTTACAAAATTCAAAAAGGTAAGCATGATTAAAAAGAGTATCAGCTCCTTTTTAATTAAATTTGCTAGTGTTTCTTAGTCTGTTTTTAGTAATAACTTTACAGCCTAATACAAATCATAAGTCATAATATTAATATTTATACTTTGAGGAGAAAACTGTTTCTGAAATGTAAGACTTATAATAAAGATTGAAACCATTTTATGTGTGTTAACTCTACTGAAGATATTTTTTAAATGGGCTTCAAGCAAAAGGCACCTTCACTATAAATAAAGAAATTTATTTGCTTACAGTCACTAATAAGAGTTTTATTTTTGAGAGAGAGAGAAACAGAGAGAGAGAGAGTATACAGCACGCAGGGGATGGGCACAGAAAAAGGGAGAGAAAGAATCCCAAGCAGGCTCTGCACTGACAGCATAGAGCCTGACACAGGGCTTGATCCCACGAACCGTAAGATCATGACCTGAGCCAAAATGAAGAGTCAGACACTTAACTGACAGAGCTACCCAGGAGCCCCACTAATAGTTTTTGAAAGTCTGTTTATTCATATACATGATTTAGGAGTCAACACTTCAGAGAAATCTTAAAGGAAAACTTATTTCATCTTAATGAATATTTAACCCGGACAACTTCTATAGCTTTATGTTTTGTCATGGTCCCAATTTTGCCTGGGACATACAATCTATTTTTACATCAGTTTAAATTGCTTATTGATTCTGTTGGATTTTATAAATGCCCTGTAAGTATATTGTTCAGTAATCTAAAAGAGCCATTATCAGAGAATGTCTTATATTTAAAGGTGTGGTACTGAGTGTGCTAAAAAGAACAAAATGTTTTTGTTTCTAGTAATATGTCTTAAAGACATTTTATTTTCCTTATAACCAAATCTAAATCTTTTGCAAAACATACACTCAAAGTAGAAGTGTTCCACCTTAGCAAAAGTAAAAAAGTTTATCTACCCTAAAGAGTACCCCAATAAAGTTTTATTACTTTACTTAGATGAATTTAAAACTGAATTGCTATTATATTATTTTAAAAGCACCTCAACCTTGCTCTAGTCATGTAGGTAATGTTTAATATTAGAACCACTCATTTCCTTCTAGCAAAGACCTTACTGCATCTACTACCAAGCATCAGAATAGATGTGTAAATGCCACTTGCTACTGGAAGCCATCACCTGCACTGGGATATGAAAAAGGGACAGTTGAGTTTAGCTGCCTTCAGTGAAGAATTTTTGAATACAGCCTCAGTGAAGAATTTGTCAACTTGGAAAAACAGACTTCAAAAGCCAGGATGAAATTAGACCTCAGGATACAATTACACAAGACTAAAATTTATATTGTACTACAGTGGTAGACAACTGGAGAGTTCTGCAAAATCTGTGAAAAAGCAGGAAAATAAAACAATATTCATAAAAACATTTCCAAGGAGATATAGATAAAAAATGTCTTGAAAACCTACAGAGATGGCAGAGAACCTAATCAACAAAACCACAAGTGCTTAATTCTGAAAGTCAGCAAAAAGAGAGTATCTGAACATCTGACCACTGAAGCAGATGTGGAAATTAAAGTCCCCTGGCAACTGCAACACAGGTTACCAGACTTCAGCAGAAAAATCTCTCTTCAAGACTTTCTCTGGAACTTTTAAAGCCTATAGAAACATAGGTACATATCTCTCTATATAAACATGGAGATATATCTTTTTATCTATCCATCTGTCTGTGAACTCGATGATCCCACAGGCATCATTCCAAAGATTAGAGGCAACATTAAGCAAAATTCCCTATCTCAGGGTCTCCAGCAGACCTCCATACATCCATTTGAACGTTTATAGGGCTAATGGGGAAAGAAATCTATCTGTTTAGAATAGGGACTTTTTTTTCTTTCAGAATAAGGATGTTTTAATACAGCTTCCAAACTGATACACTCTTGCTCAAACCATCAGTTTTGAGATGAACTTTTGACAGACTATACAGTTAGTGTAAATTTTATCAATTAATGTCTGGTGGTCATAATATGCTATACAAACTGGGTGTGCTACTTCAGATTTTTGACACCACCTAAAGATAGATTTCATTTCCATGTTGTTGATAGAATGTGTGGCTTTCAAATTTTTTTTTTTTTAATATGAAATTCATTGTCACATTGGTTTCCATACAACACCCAGTGCTGATCACAACAGGTGTCCTCCTCAATGCCCATCACCCATTTTCCCCTCCCTCCCACCCCCATCAACCTTTAGTTTATTCTCAGTTTTTGAGTCTCTTATGGTTTGCCTCCCTCCCTCTCTTATTTTTTTCTTCACTTCTCCTCCCCCATGATCTTCTGTTAAGTTGCAAGGACCATGAGGCATTCAAATTTCTATAAAAGTTTTAAACTACCTAGGGTAGGGTTGTTTTTTGTTTTTTTTTCAATTTATGACAACTGTTTTCTATGTTACTATTAGTGAGTGAGGCAACGAATTTCCAATTTGAATTCAACAACAACAAAAACAGATAAAGAGGAATTATTTCTTTCACATTCAAATTATAACAAGTATCTAACTTCAGTTGCCAAAGCTTTTTTAGAGGGAGGGCTGGTGGGGCGCCTGGGTGGCGCAGTTGGTTAAGCGTCCGACTTCAGCCAGGTCACGATCTCGCGGTCCGTGAGTTCGAGCCCCGCGTCAGGCTCTGGGCTGATGGCTCAGAGCCTGGAGCCTGTTTCCGATTCTGTGTCTCCCTCTCTCTCTGCCCCTCCCCCGTTCATGCTCTGTCTCTCTCTGTCCCAAAAAAAATAAATAAACGTTGAAAAAAAAAAATTTAGAGGGAGGGCTGGAATTTTTACATGATTAAAATTCTCTTGGGGAGTTGGGGAGAGGTTATTTGAGGAAAATAAATACCATATACCAACAATATATAGCAGCATCATTATCACTAAAAGGAAAGTATAACCTATGCTATTTTTATACATAAGCCATGCCTATAATGTTAAATCCCTATGGATCTATTGAAAATAAACCATCATGCACTATTTTTCACTTTTAAAAACCATAGTATTGAATTAGGGTTAAAGTGATCCTAATTAATAAACCCATTAATAGTTAATAACTCACTTCAAGAGGACTGGGCTCGGGAGAAATATCTAATGCTATGTAATATGTACTATATTCTAAACAAAAACAAGTAAGCCTTTTAAAATCAAATTATACTTGTACAAATAATCAGTTCACATACATTATTTCTGCCTTCTCTTTTCTAATGATGATTATTCAAAAAATCAGTACAGTAGGAAAGACTAAGTATTACCTTTCCCTGAGAGAAGCTCGATTAAGCACAGGACTTGGAGAATGCTTCGGCATTGTTGAGGGTGCTGAATGGACTAGTAGGGTCCTTGCTGAATTCTGGGGCTTGCTACATGACCTTGAGCTTAAATACTCATCACACCTTTCCAAGGAGTCATCGTAGTCTCTCCCATGGGGTGTCCTGATAACCTGTTTAAAAAATTATATTTGTATACACATAATAAATGTGCTATACATTTATTACATACATACACACATATACACACCACCTTAGAACATTTATAAGAATTAAAAAAAAAAAAAAACACGTATAATGCCACAGCCATATATGAAGGTAAATTTTAGAATGTAGCAGTAATCATTACCACCATAAGAATAAATATTAGGGGCACCTGGGTGGCTCAGTCAGTTAAGCGCCTGACTTCGACTCAGGTCATGATCTCGCATCTCACGGTCTGTGAGTTCAAGTCCCGCATCAGGCTCTGTGACAGCTCAGAGCCTGGAGCCTGCTTCAGATTCTGTGTCTCCGTCTCTCTCTGCCCCTCCCCCACTCATGCTCTTTCTCAAAAATATATAAACATTAAAAAAAATATTAAATACATCTAGATTGTTCATTCCACGTCTAAAATTTACAATTATCAATTCCAAAGGCTTTTGAGTAGTGGTAGGGTAAAGGTAGGGGTGTATATATAAAACAAAGGACAATATACAGAAACTAATGACAGCCTAGTTTAGCTATCAGGCCAATCAGAACAGAATTCTACCCTAATACTCATTCATTGATTCATTTGTTCTGAGGACAGACAAATGAATGAATCAGGATAAAAACATTATATAACTACCTTTATATGAGGAACTTATATTCTAGTAAAGTTTACATACTACTATGAAGAGGGAGTTTTAAACACACACCCTAAGATAAATAGGTAAAATACATAGTATGTTAAAGGATGGTGACTATCATAAGAAGAAAATAAAGCAGGAAAGGAGATAAGAGGTACTGATGGGTGGTGTGGGAGGGGTATATAGGGAAGGAGATGCAATTTTATTTTATTTCATTTCATTTCACTTTATTTTATTTTTTTATTTATTTGAGAGAGAGAGAGCATGAGAGAGAGCAGGGGAGGGACAGAAAGAGAGGGAAAGAGAGAATCCCAGCAAGTTCCACATTGCCAGTGCGAAGAACGAAAAAGGGCTCGATTTCATGAAATGAACGTGAGATCATGACCTGAGCCAAAATCAAGAATCAGACACTTAACCTATTGAGCCACCCAGGCATCCCAGGAGCTGCAATTTGAAATAAGATAATCAAGGGGGACCTCATGGAGAAAGAGAATATCTTCGTAAAGACCTAAGGAGTAAAGGCCTGAAGATCTTACTAAAGACCACAAGACCTAAGTCATGGGGACATCTGCGGGAAGATCATTCCAGAAGGAGAGAAAAATAAACACAAAGATCCTGTGGGATGGGGTAGAAAGCACGCCTGATGTATTAGAAATAGCAAGGAAGGGGCAACTGGGTGGCTCAGGTAGTTAAGCATCCAACTTCGGCTCAGGTCATGATCTCACAATTCATGAGTTTGAGCCCCACGTTGGGCTCTGTGCTGACAGCTCAGAGCCTGGAGCCTGGAGCCTGTCTTCGAATTCTATGTCTCCCTCTCTCTCTGTCCCTCCCCTGCTTGTACTGTCTCTCTCTCTCTCAAAAAATAAATGAAAAAAAACAACAACACTTAAAGAATTAAAAAAAAAAAAAAGAAATAGCAAGGAAACCAATAGGGCTGAACTAAATAGTAGGTAATGAGGTCAAAAAGGTAGTTTTAAGGATTTAGGATTCTATGCTGTAACTTTTTTTTTTTTTTAAATAAGATCTCACTGGCTACTTTGTTAAGAACTCTCTATAGAGTGGCAGAGACAGGGAAATCATCTAGGAAATGATTATAACAAAATATGGAAAAGGATGCTGGCTTGAATAAGAATGATATCAATGGAGGTGAAAACTGATCAGATTGAAAAGGCATTTGAAAGATAGGGCCAACAGGATTCGCTAATGGACTGGATGTCAAAGATAACACCAGTTTTTTGGCCTAATCAACCAGAAGAATTGGGTTTATATGATTTAGTTACACTCTTCCAACTGGAAGGATAGAAGAGTAAATATTAGGAGCCTGTTTCTGCACATGTTGAGCTGCTTATACCTATTAATTTATTAATCACCCAACATATTAGAGTAGAATTCAGGAGAAGAGTCCAGGGTAAAGATATAAATGGTATTTAAAGATAGGGCACTAGGTGATATCACCAAGGAACTGAGCATAAGTAGAAAGAAGAATACATCTGAAGACAGAGCCCTGGGGAATACTCCACTACTGAAAGGCTGAGAAGATAGCAAGAAAACATCAGACTGAGGAGTGGGCAGGGAAGAAGGGGAAGAAACAGGAGAATGTGTGGTCAGTTGAAGAATGCATTTCAAGTAAGGGGAGTAACTAAGTTAAATACGCTGATAAATCAAATTGGAAAAGACTGAGAATGGAACTTTGGATTTTAGCAATTGGAGAGTCATCAGTAACATCAACAAGAGTAGCACTGATGGAGTGATGGGAGTGATAATCTGGAGTTGAGTTCAAGAGAGAATGAGAGAGAGAAATTGCACTCATTTAATAAATATTTAATCTCCAGTCATTATTTTAAGTGTTGGGACTACAACAGTGAACACAACTAAGTCCCTGCCTTTATGAGCAACTGTTCTAGCAGTACTATTTGGTAAATATCTGGCCTTTAAGAAAGATACCTTATCTTTCTCAGACTTATTTCCCTCATATGTAGAGCTAATAATCACTATCTTATAGATTTTCCATAATTTAAAGTAAGTTATAGAACATCTAGGTGTGTGAATTAGTTATACAATAAATATAAGCCATTTATTATTAAAACACCAGTCCAACACAACTTTTTGCTTCAACACTACCACAATTTTCACTGCTTTCCAGAATTAGAGCAACATATGGTGACTCAGCAATCGGCTAAGAGAACCAAGCTTTCATCCCAGAACCAAATAGCACATGGTTCAAACGGCTCAGTTACAGTCCCAAATAACTGACCAAGAAATATATGATCTAGATTGAATAAAAATTGGAAATTATTTCAATGTTAGTTGTTCACATAAAGTAAAAGCACAGTGAATGTCAAAAACAAGATCAAAGATGTCCGTAGTCAACAAATGTTAAGCATATATGTGAAGAGACTGATAGGAAAGAAAAAAAGTGCTGTAATGCTGTTTCTAGAATTCTATCCAAATATGAGTCTCTTGGCTTATGGTACAGATTATTTTCTCTTCATTAACTTCAATGCCAACTGAGTCATGTTGGTTAGCAGACCACTTCATTTTTCTTTCCCCCCTTTTTTTTTATTAAATTTTCTCCCCAAACTAGTCAGCAATATTTTAAACACAGCCATGTTCCTCTATTTATAAGAATATTCACTGACAATCTCTTGCACCACATGTTAGCTAATACTCATATCTAGAAAGGTATAGGGGTTTGAACTTACAATCCAGATGAGATGGGGTATAAACACAAAGATAACTGACAACAAGATAACCTGCATCAAATACATCATAATGACAACACAGAAGGATATTCAAAGATTTTGGTCTAAATGGTGGAAGTCTCATGGAGAAGGTGGGACTGGAATCAAGGCCATTAGTAGAGAAAAGGAGAAAGGGCAGTCAGAATGGGGGGAAAGGCACAAGGAAAGAGGACCACAGACGACAATAACTTGGCTATCTCTATAGGAAATTAATAGGAGAGACAGTATCTTAGAGGTGGAAAGGAGCACATTGTAGAGAAACTTAAGTGCTGTAACTCAATACTACTCAACATTTTTTAAGCATATTCTATGTATAAAGTACTAAACAAGGGAGGAGACAACAATCACAAACAAATGTAACAGAAGACCTCAAAGAAGTTATAATCCATGAGGGCAGACATGAAAAAACAAGTAATGATAAAATAATGAGGAAGGAAATTAGAACTGAATAGATATAATAAGTGTGCCATGGGACCACAGCTAGGATATATTCTTTCCATGGAATTACAGCAAATATTTGTTTGGTAAAGTTTTATATCTGCATGGGGGACTAAAGGTATAATGAGGGAGTAAGTCTTGGATAAGAATCCATTTCAAACTTTCAATCTTAAGCCTTAGCTTAAGACATTTCCATAGCTCTTGTGAGTTTTCCATAGGTTACTTATTTACTTCAAAACCACATGGAGTATTATCTCTTTGGCTCATTACAGAAGAGTTCCATCTCTTGGACAATTCTTCAAGAACACTGGCTTACAGTCCAAAGACCTGGGTTCAAATCCCTACCAATTATGTGACCCTGAGCGGGTCATTTCTTTCCAAGCTTTAGTTTCCTTATATACAAACTGGGGAAATAACCTTCCAGATTTGCCACAAAAATGTGGTATAATTGTGAAAACACAAAGCAGAGGGCTTAGTTTATGAAGAATAATAGTTATTTCCTCTGTTTACAGTGATCTTCATATTTCAGCAAAAAGACTTTTTTTTTTCTTTTTACATTTATGGAAATCTTTAAATGTCTGTTCTAAGATCTCCAGTATGTAACAATTCCAATATTACAAATGTTAAAATGTATCGAGATAAAAAATCTAGTATTTTTAAACCACTCTAAAACTGTTACAAGTAGAAAAGCTTCATACACAAAATTCATTGTAATTCCATATATGCAATTATACAAAGGACACACTTCTCAAATTTGTGATATATAATGGTTTGGTTATACCATACTTATGAAATAAGATTCCTGAAAAGTTGTTTACATGATAAGCTGATAAGTCGTATTTATGGCCATAAAATTTTATGGGAACTTCAAGGTCCAATTAATAGAAGGAATAACTAACTACTGAGTATAATGGGAAACAGGAAATCACTTATCCAACAAGTATCTGTTGAACTGACTTAATGCCTGGTATAAACACCATGCTCTAAAACTTCTTCTTTGTCATGGAGCTTAAAATTTAAGAAACAAATACAAATAATTCTAATGGAATTAGCTGGGAAGTAGTTGAGACTAAGGATTGTAGGGGGAAAGTGCAGTATAGGTACTACTTTTAGGATGATAAGAAGAAAGTATGGTTCTCACTCAAAAGAGAGAGAAGCAATTTCTCA